AGATAGAATATAAAGATTCAGTGTTCCAGGAAAAGAAAGATTTTCAGCACATTTGATATTTGAAAAGCTCTATATACTTTAAGAATATCTAATCATCTGTAACATACTTGCAGAGTTCAGAAAAAAATCTATATATCTGTATCTACACTGATACTTATCTATACATTTATAGATATATTAATTTATCATGCATCATCTACCCATATGTATAAAAGTATATAAATGTATATATAGAGGATGACATAATATATATATATTTTCATTGTCTATCTTTAAATGTATACATAACAGAACAAATGTAGTAAATGATAATAATCAGGAAATCCAGGTAAAGGGTACATAGAAGTTCCTTGTGCTATTTGTTCAAGTTCTCTAAGTTTGAATTATCTCAAAATAAAAAGATTTTTAAATCTAATAGATATTTTATGGGGTTTTTTTTTTTTTGAGATAGAGTTTTACTGTGTCACTCAGGCTGGAGTACATTGGCACAATCTTGGCTCAATGCAACTTCCGCCTCCTGGATTCAGGCAATTCTCCTGTCTCAGCCTCCCGAGTGGCTGGGATGACAAGTGCCTACAACCACGCCTGGCTAATTTTTGTATTTTGAGTAGACAGGGTTTCACAATGTTGGCCAGGCTAGTCTCGAACTACTGACCTGAATTGCTATTCTCCTGCTTCAGTCTCCCAAAGTGCTGGGATTACAAGTGAGAGCCACCACATCCAGCTATTTGACTGTTTACCTAATTTTGTTATAAGATGCTGATTTTAAAAGACCCTCTTTCACCATTTGCTCTCCTTGACATTTGAAGCAAGAACCCCACAATCAGTTTGTGAATTTGGCCTTTAAAGTGCTTATCATAGAGTGACAAGATTTATTGAATTGTGTCTTTCCCAAAGCACAGAAATATATAGGAAGCCTCCCACTTTGTTTGACAAGACCAGCACAATCTCAGTAACAGAATTTGACAAACCTAGCACACAAAAAAAAAATCATGGACCAATATGAATCATAAATATAGACACAAATGCATGAAGCAAAATGCTAGCTTCTTCAATTCTGGTACAGTCTTAAAAAAAAACAAATCATTGGCCGGGCGTGGTGGCTCACGCCTATAATCCCAGCACTTTGGGAGGCCGAGGCGGGTGGATCACGAGGTCAAGAGATCGAGACCGTCCTGGTCAACATGGTGAAACCCCGTCTCTACCAAAAATACAAAAATTAGCTGGGCATGGTGGTGCATGCCTGTAGTCCCAGCTACTCGGGAGGCTGAGGCAGGAGAATTGCTTGAACCCAGGAGGCGGAGGTTGCGGTGAGCCGAGATCGCGCCATTGCACTCCAGCCTGGGTAACAAGAGCGAAACTCCGTCTCAAAAAAAAAAAAAAAAAAAAAAAAAAAAAAAAAAAAAAAAAACATTCATAGGTAGGATTTATTTCAAAATTATAAGTTTAGTTCAGCATGGGTAAATCAAGGTAAGTTAAAAGAGATACTCCATCTGAGTCTCTTGATAAATGGCAAAGAGGCATTTTTTCTTGGGTAGTATCTTTCTGCAAACTAGGAACAACAGAACACTATAAAGTATGGCTATCAAAAAAAAAAAAAAAAAACCTGTATGTTTTCAAGGGAAATACTAGAGGCATTACCACAGAAGCAAGGAATACGAAAATTACACCCATTATCACTGCTATTATTCAACACTGTTCTGGTATTTCTCTTTTTTTCTTTTTCTTTCTTTTTTTTTTTTTAAGATGAAGTCTCACTCTTTTGCCCAGACTGAAGTGCAGTGGCACGTTCCTGGCTCACTGAAACCTCCACCTCCTAGGTTCAAGCAATTCTCCTGTCTCAGCCTCCTGAGTAGCTGAGATTACAGGCATGAACCACCACCCGTAATTTTTTTTTTTTTTTTTTTTAGTAGAGATGGGGCTTTACCACGTTGGTCAAGCTGGTCTTGAACTCCCAACTTCAAGGTGATCCACCTGCTTCGTCCTCCCAAAGTACTGGGGTTACAGGTGTGAGCCACCACACTCAGCCTGTTCTGGTATTTCTTAACTTTATTATTAACTATCTAGGAAATCCAAAGAATAACTAATAAGACAGTTCTAATCGAACCCAATACACATTCAAAGCTTTACTATATTATACTAGGCATCAGGGATTAGCAAACTGCCTATAAAGGTCAAAGAGTAAATATTTTAGCCTTTTTGGGCCATCCAGTTTCCATGGCAACTATTTGACTGTGCCACTGGAGTGCAAAAGCAGTCATTGATAATGCATAAGTCAAAGGATTTCCAGGCAGTGGACTGGATTTCACCTACTGGCCGTGGTTTACTGACCTCTGCTTTATACCACAGAAAGCAGCTGATGGGAAAAAGGTATCCTTTAAAACATAAAAAAAAAAATATATAAAGACCTAAAAACAAACTTTTTTTTTTTTTTTGAGACAGAGTTTCACTCTTGTTGCCCAGTTACCCAGGCTGGAATGCAATGGCTCGATCTCGGCTCACTGCGATCTCTGTCTCCCAGTTCAAGTGATTCGCCTGCCTCGGCCTGTTGAGTAGCTGGGAATTACAGGCACCACCATGTCCAGTTAATTTTTGCGTTTTTGGTAGAGGCAGGGTTTCACTATATTAGCCATGGCTGGTCTTGAACTCCTGACCTCAGGTGATCCACCTGCCTCAGCCTCCCAAAGTGCTAGGATTACAGGCATGAGCCACCATGCCCAGCTGAAATAAACTTTCTAAAAGGCAATTTGGCTATATGCATTAAAAATGAGATTTAGAGTACTTTTTCAACCCAATAATTCAATTTCTGGGAATATATCCCTAAGAATACATTTAGACAAAGACACAAAGATGTGTACACAAGGATGTTTATTACAGTGTTATTTATATTAAGAAAAGTTGGCCAGGCATGGTGGCTCACGCCTGTAATCCCAGCACTTTGGGAGACTGAGGTGGGCAGATCACTTGAGGTCAGGAGTTTGAGACTAGCCTGATCAACACGGTGAAACCTCATCTTTACTAAAAATACAAAAATTAGCCAGGCATGGTGGCAGGTGCCTATAATCCCAGGTACTCAGGAGGCTGAGGCAGGAGAATTGCTTGAACCCAGGAGGTGGAGGTTACAGTGAGCCAAGATGGTCCCATTGTACTCCAACCTGGGTGACAAGAGCGAAATTCCGTCTCAAAAGAAAGAAAGAAAGAAAAAAGTTATTTACTACTCACATAATCTATGTCTATGAGGAATGCATAGTTTCTGAAAACAAGTTAGAGTAGCATGCATAATATCAGCTAATTTTTTAAAAATATAGGTGTGCATATGAAGTTACACGCATGGGCCCACACATGCAACAAAACTTGGAAAGAAATATCCGCAATTGCTTTATTAGCAGTTATTTCCTGGGGTGGATTTATGAGCAACTTTTCTTCTAATTTTTGCTCTTTTATTATTTCTTCAATGGAGCTAGGAAATAAAATTTTCAATTTTTAAAAGGAAGTTAGCAAATACAAAAACCCTGTGCTAAACAATTTACTCACATTTCTATTAATTTTGAAGGAGCCTGTAGACAGTATCCTCCTCAAACAAAGTACATTGATACTGATTTTAATGTTCACGCTAAAGTTCCAGACATCCCTCGAAAGTTATTTAAGTTATCGTTAACCACTACATGTCCTGAAGACAAAAATCTTTGGGTTATAACTAAGGTAAAAGGAGCATATGTCTGGAAATCTTGTAGTTTTCTTACCCTTCAGTAATGTTTCTGCATGCATGACTATGCATGTGTGTGCGTGCACATGTGTGTGTATACATCTCTCTATTGAGTAAGGAAAGCCAGAGAAGGGAAATAGGAAATGGACAAAAATGGTAAATGAAAGACCAACATGAATTAATGTCCTACAGGGAAATAAATATGAGTAAACTCACTCTTCAAGGTCTTATTAATGATTTTATAGTATGAGAATCTTGCCTGTTGGGTTAGGAGAAAACCTTGATATTCCTGCAAATTCTCATTTATAATTTACCAAGACTAAATTTAGGTCTCTTAATAGAAAACTTAAGTCCATGTGATTTATATCTAGTTGTGAAATTTAAGCACATTTTTCCTTACAATTGACAACAGGTATCTCATTATTTTGCCGAGAGTTTCACTTGTAAAATGATACATATTTAAGTTTCATGTACTTAAAATCTTGGGAAAATATAAACGGGAAGAAAAAATTACGATTTGTATAACTTCTCAGGAATTTTTTGTAGGTGCTACTGAATGTAAGTTACATGATGTAACTAACTCACAGTTGTCAAAAATAGCCTGGCTTTGAAATCTTCCCACTTCCCTCCTGAAGTGGTCTTCACCAATAGCCTAGCGTAAAAATTAGATCCAATGCAAACAGAATATCCTCCAGTAACAGACATTTCCAACTTTGGCGGGGGGCAGGGGGATGCATTTGAGCACATATGTGTGTGTGCATGCATGTGTGAGTCTGTGTGTGTGAGCTTGTCATTGCTAGAGCGGCCATGGGAGAAAAGCAAATCTCCCTAGAGCCAACTTAGAAGTTAATAGGAACAATATGACAACCACAGGGTCATCCAGAGTTCTCAAAAGTGATGTCAAAAGATGATGAGGTGTTAAGTACATTTTGTAAGCCATGAAAATCCAGGACACAATAAGCAAGAAAGGAAGTTTGCTCTGAATACAACAGACAAATGAGTATACTGATATAATTATTTATTAACTATTCCTTTGCTTGCAATCTCAGCCAAATGCTCTTTATCCTTTGGTAGTAGAATTTACAATTAGCAAACATGAACATAACAACCTACATTAGTCTTATGTTGAGATCTGGGAGACCAGAATCCTCAAACTTTCAGACTTTCAAAATTCTTGGAAATGAATTAAGCATAGTTAAAAAGTGAGAAGTCATGCTTCAAATCCCAAACTATGTTTTGCCTGTCAAATATTGCACTCTGTAAAGTGTATCACCAAACCCCAGTAGAAACTTACCCTTCAACTTGAGGTCAACATTATGTCTCAGCCAAGGATAAACCCCATAGCTTGGCATATCTTCGGGAATTGGATTATTGCTTATCCAGCCATCACAAGCGAACCGGAAGAAATTATCACAAGGATCCACAGACAGATTTACTTTACTTAAGATGGCAGCAGCTATTTAGAAAGAAAATCACAGGATTAATAAGCACTGAACATTGTATACTGTTCTTTTCCAAATTAAACAATGATTTCATATCAACCAGTTTCCAAGCCTTGGCATTTACATTTTCCCTTAAATAAATTCCCTTGAATCTACCTCACTATATGAAATGACTACATTCAAAGTGAATGGATAGGCCAGGTGCAGTGGCTCACGCCTGTAATCCCAGCACTTTGGGAGGCTGAGGCAGGTCGATCACCTGAGATCAGGAGTTCAAGACTAGTCTGGCCAACATGGGGAAATCCCAACTCTACTAAAAATATAGAAATTAGCCATATATGGTGGTGCACACCTGTAATCCCAGCTACTCGAAGGCTGAGGCAGGAGAATCGCTTTAACCCAGGAGATGGAGTTTGCAGCAAGCCAAGATCGTACCACTGCAGTCCAGCCTGGGGTGACAACGTGAATTGTCTCTCAAAAAAAATGAATGGATAAAAGTTTGCTGGTATTATTGTTACCAGTTTTTGCAGGATCATCCCTAACATCTGTGGGGTGTAGGACAAGAATAGAAATTGAGTGTGTGGCCAATCACTTGCAAAGATAGCTGTGACTTTCTTCCATCCTGCTTGTCCTTCTGCAAAGTGACTTGCTGCTCTTCCCATCAAGTGGTAGAGTCTGTCCAAATTCAAGGGACTGACCTTGTCACTTGCTTTGACCAACAAAATTGGCAGAACTTTCTGTGAGTTTCAAAGCTAAGCCTTAAGAGGCTTTGCAACTTCGATATTAACTCCTTTTCAATGAAACCCTGAAGCTGCTCTTTGAAGCAGCCTCCTGGAGGACAAGAGGCCACATAGAGAAGAACCAAACCAGAACATTTGCCAGACATTGACCAAGGCCATCATTCACCTTCCAGTCCAGGCACCCCTCTAGCTGAATGCAGCTGCACAAATGAGCCTAGGCAAAAATCAGCAGAGAAACCATCCACCAAACCCATCAAATCATCAGAAATACTAAATCATTTCTGTTCCAGGCTGCTATGGTCTGGGTGGTTTACCTCACAGTGAAGGCTAATGGAAACAGAGGTCCATATGTCATCTATCTAAATATTTAAAGTTATATTTATAATATACTTTCAAATTCTTGAGCTCCTTGATATTCAGTGTAGCTCTCAGAGAAATAAAGCCCTGGAAGAGGTCCACACAAACCCTGGAAGGAAGCTTGGGGCCATCAGGCAGTGAATTCTGAGGTATAGAAGGAGAGAGCTGCCTACTCGGCTCCACAGACCACTTGACTGGAGGAGATGCACGGCCAGAGGAGGGCCAAAGTAGGGTATTCTAAATGAGGGACCCAGGTCTAGGGGTAGAACTGAGTATGTGTATAAGTTAACAGAAAGACACAATCAACTGATCTACCATTTTTTCCTCTTTCATAAGCCCATACACAATTACATACAGAAGACAGCCCATAGGTAGGAGACGTGTACATAAATATGTAATCATGAGCTTTAAAAGAAAACCCTTCATTACAAAATGAGAAGTTTCCAAAATTCCCAATACTGAACAACGCTCTTCCAACAGCCATGCAATTGCTGGCTACCACTCTAGCACAAAGATATGCACCAACTGATTTTTTAAAAAAGCAGCCAATATTTTAATGACATTAGAAAGGTGACATTCTGAGCAATTTTCATACTTTAAATAATGCCAGTACATATTTTTGTTTGAAGTAATGAAAACCCAATGAGATTTCAGCTAAATATGAATGAACTGCCCCAAAAAAGTATAATCTGTGTAAATTTAGATACATATCTTACAGTTTGGTTACATGTGTGGCTCCTCCAGGTTTAAAAATAAGACTAGAGGGGAGCTGGGGAGAGATAGCATGGGGAGAAATGCCAGATGTAGGTGATGGGGAGGAAGGCAGCAAATCACGCTGCCATCTGTGTACCTATGCAACAATTTTGCATGTTCTTCACATGTACCCCAAAACCTAAAATGCAATAAAATAAATGGGGAAAAAAAAATTTTCAGTACAGACAAATGGAGATTTGTTAGACTTCCCGGATCATGTGACCTAATTTTTTTCCTTGTCATTATATTTGCTAGTTAGTGTTTTGAAAAGAATTATCATTAATTTATATTACTTCTTGTTTC